TAAAAGGTCTGTTCCGTGTAGTTTCTCCTTGATCTTCCAGTTATTATTCATTATTATTCTAAGGAGTTCCATTTAAACACAACATTTTAAAACCTATTTTGCATAAAAAGATCATTTTTAAAACCTACATCTGTTAGCTAAACTGAGTGTTAAGAGACTTCTGTAATTTGGCTTTACCATGTTATATTTGTAATATCCATGTATATGTACTTCTTTGTTGTTAAAAGGTAATGTTGTTTTTAGGTTGGTAACTTTAGATAATTTGTTTCCCTTGATTAAAGATAAGATTAGACAAGCGAATGAAATGGATCAATTGGAGAAGCAGCATCAGTAGGATGTCAAGGAGAATATTGAAATAGCAAGAAAGAATCTCCATTCAAATGTGAGTTCATCTCAACCTTTCTCAAATCCAGTATCTGTTGATGTACGTGTTAATTGAGCCGTTTACAAGATATACCTGTTTTCTGGTCTTCATTAGTACTATTCCGAGTTCTGTTTAAGTTGTGTGAGATGGAAGATTATGATTTCCATGTCTGATCAACTTTGGAGCTGTGGAAATGCAATATTGTATTTATGAGGGTGGCCCTGAGGATAATCACTAGGAACTTGCCCTTTGGTTTGTCTATGATTACGTATTTATATTGAATTTCCGAAAAAGGATTCATTAGGGAATTCATACTAGCTAAAAGAGTAGTACGGTTACTGGTGAAGATATGAATATGGCTACGGTAGACTTTTATGCAAAGGCCCCTCTCTTTTGTTTTTAGTTTTTACTATTGAACAACTATGACGAGATCGAGAGGAGAAAGATTGCTAGAGCAAAACGAGACTGAATGATAAAGTAGATAGGGAAGAAGGCTTGCATTCATGAATCTCTTTCTAGAACTTAGGAATTTACTATCAGAGGTGGTAGTCGGTTCCATTTCAAGCCAACAGAACGAGGACAGATGATTGATTGAATATGCACTCTTGAACTAATGGTGCAAAGTCTTTGGAGTGGTGTCTTAGTCATTTCTAGGGAATTTCCTTTTTCCTGCTTTCATTTTATTACATTTTTTTATTAGCTATCTTATCAACCATATTTTTTTTCTCTTTTACTTTTTTCAGTTACATGATGACCGATGAAGGATGTGAAATGGATGACAAATATCTCTATTGCATCTCCTGCATCAGGAGAAAAAACGGAGGGTTATGGTAGGTCACACATCTTTGATAGGCTATTTAGTTTCATTTTGGGATCAAGCAAAGGAAGACTTGAACAATGAACTTAGAGAGCATCTCAAGGATTATTATTTCATATTTTTCAAATTGAAATTCTCCTTTGGTCTTCACATGAATTTGTTTTGATATGACTATAGTAGATCCTATATCATTCCATCTTGGATCCATTAGCCTGTATAACGTGGACGATCTTTATTTTACTTAATTTTAATTGTGGTGGTTAGATGTTGACGAGAAGGTTCGTTGTTCTTATATTTAGTAGGATCATGGAAAGACCAACAAACATGACAAAGTAATTGTGGAGTAATTTTTCAACTGAGGGCAATTGATTGTTGGCTATGATACGGAGAGTTGATACTTGATTGTCACAATGACCACTCATTTTTTAAGTGAAAATATTACACTTTACTGTTTTGTACCTAACTAACATGGTGAACTTTTTTTTGGGTGTAAATCGTGTAATAACATGGTGAACTTTGATTGAAAGGAAATATATTTCAATTTTTTTATTAACTCGAGACTCGATTATTTCACTACCTTTGCCGACCAAAGTTTTGGATTCCCTTTCAATGAATCACTAATCGCTTGCTTACTAATTAGCTGTCATTGATACATGTACTTTATTTATTCAAAAGTAAAAAATTACCATCTAACCACAAATATTATTGGTTGAAATGTGGTGGCTTCCTACAAAAAAAAAATTATTGCTCGATTGGTAGACATATCTCACATGCATCAGTCCATTGATTACCAAATAGAAACTAATACATTTGTTCAAGTTCAATAACTATTGCGGATCAATCTGTTAGTTTATTATCTCATTTTTAATTGAATTTTTAACATAGCTCATGTTTGATAATTTTCCAAAGCATAGGGTATGGTTGATGTAAAAAATAGTAGAGTGGCATGTTTGATAAAACTACATGATAGAGGAACATATTATACCTATAACCCTTTTTTACCATTCTTACCACTTTATCTTTTAGCACAGGCTGATATCTAGAGTGTGTATTCCTATTTCCAATCTATGACCACCCATGGATTCCCACCTAGGTCATCACTACATGGGATGGAAGTAATGACAACATTGATGGTCATGTTGTTATTGTCAAAGATTGTATGTGTTTCACATCTTTCAATCACTCCAAAAGAAAACATGATAGTTTTATTATCATTCCTTTTTTTCATGCGAATGCTAACTATGGTGAGAAGATAAAACAAACCAGAAGGACATATATACTATGTTTTCTTCCTCTTAAATGTGTTTCATGCCTGTATATTTTGCAAACAAGCTACATTTGGATTCTCACCAATATTTTAGTCTCCATCTCAATTTGAATAATTAAATTTGTATTTCTTTTCACTTCCAAATTTTAATATTTCTTCTAATTACTTTCGCAACTATAAGGGGGTTTCCTAATCATGGAAACCTCTTATTCAGTTCGAATTGAAGTGTTGTCCTCATCTGTCTGGTAGATACAATGAATATTTGCTAGATGTTAAGTTTAATTAACTCAAAGTAGGTCTCATTTTTGCAGTTTTCTTTGGTATCCTAAACACCGAAACAAATTCACGTCACTTATTCCCTATTCCATTACCAACTAATGAAAAGTGGCTAATGAGATGCTACCCTCACAATATACATGATCCAAGAGCATTATTACGTCCATATCAATAGTCGGGTCAACTACCTCCGACCAACGGGTCGGGTTATAAGCTAGTTAGCTTGTTATATTACTATCTGGTTAGCTGTTGGAAGCTTTGTTTTGTGATGGACAATTGTAGTCATGCTCTTTGGTTAGAGATTTGGATGAAATGAAAATTTGATTTAAAAAAATAGAAATAATATTTGTGATAATATATCTTTTATTGAGTCTGAGCCTTAGTGCTATGAAAATTTTGAATGTGGGTTAAGAAAACCATAGGGTTGTCTTGCATGTTCATGTATTGAGGGTACAATTGTGTTGGGTTATTTTATCTGCACATCAAGGAAAACATGCCTAGGACGATGAAAAACGTACCAGTTTTTTTGGTTGCGAGTACTGAGTAGTTTCTTTTCCAACATTTGGTCATGATAGTATGTGATCCATTTCGGGCTTGCTCCTCGAGTAGTTCTAGCCAAGATTGAATGAAGACATCTTATTTGTAGGCTTCTCTTCTACTTTTGATGAATTATCCAATTATACGACCCTTCCTCTGGTTTGTTTTCTTACCAACCTAAAGTGAGTGAGAAAATATAATTTTATACTAAAGAGAAATGGGCATAACATACATTTTCAGTATTTATCGAGTACAATTTAACATAGTGACAGTATAAATTTCATACAATCCCTATCAAATAATTTGTTTCAAAAAAATACGCGGCATATAACATTTTCAGTAAATGACACACCCAATCGAAAGTTTTCTATTATTTACATTTTTAACCCGTATATAAGCCGATCAAATGTAGTTGAATCCAACATCATTCAACGTTGCCACCAAATTTATACTCTTCAAAATTTCGAAAATGGACATTTCGTTAACATATATGCTCAGTTGAGTTTTTTTTCCCTGGGAATAAAGCCCAATTGAATCTATATTATAATAGTAAACTGATGCTTATCAATATTAAGAATGATTAGTTTACTTACCAAACTATATAAATAAAAACAAGTCTTCTTAATTATCATTATTAGTTGGATCATCCCCACTCAATTTGTGTGACTCAATCAAGAGTTGAGCCAAAAAAAAAAAAAAAGGAGAAAGAAACAAGGAAAGATAAAAGGGAGAGGTCAGCTAACAACAGCACGCTTTGCTTCCTCGGCCGAACAACCTTCTCACTCACTCTCCTTCTTCCCTTCCATCCATGTAGCTTCAATAAGCTTTTGCAGCTCTCTCTTTTCCTCTCTTTTCCCTGGACCGGTTTACTATATTCTGGTTCTGGGTTGCGTGCATTTTGCTCCCAAAATTCTCCCCCTTCATCTCCCTCTCTGTTTTTAAATTTTGGGTTCTTGAGCTGGCTGCTAAAGGAATCTCCTCTCTCCCTCTCTCTCTTCCTTCTTCTGCAGTTGTCCCCCGAAAAGCAAGAATTATAAAATCCCACTAAGCGTGCTAAAAGGCAAAAGCCCACTAAAGTCCCCTCTCCCCCTCTTCCTCCTCCTCCTATTATTATCATCCCCACCCCTCCTTCCTCCCGTAATTCCATCATTCCTTTCTCTCCACCCCCTTTGCGTTTCAGCCTTTTTGAGTGTGTTTGTGGGTTTGTTGAGGATTATTAAAGGGAAAGGTTTACTTGTCTTTTGGCTGGGCTCTCTGGGTTGTTGGGATCTTGAGGTCTCTGTCATTGATTTGGATGTGTTTTCGCCATCTGGGTCTCCTTCAAAGGACCGAAAAGAGGTAGCTTGGAAGGGATCTTTGCGTTGTTTGTGAAAGGGATCATGATGCCGGTCAACTTGTTCTTGAGTGCTGGTTAAGAACCATATTAACTTTAAGGTACCCAACTTTGCTTCCTCGCTTCTTCTGGGTTTTTTTATGGGTTGGTTTTTGTAGTGTGCTCACAAGGTGTTTGATGAAGTGCTTGCGTGAGTAATATGTCATGTTAGTTGAGAATTCTGCTTATTTTTCTTTTTCTCCCCGTTGCTTGTGGTGATTTGCAGTGAAGCGCTACGCATATTTTTTTAAATACAGTTTGGGTTCTGTTCCTGTTGGTGCTTGAAAGTCAAAGGCGTAGACTTTTTCTGTCGACTGGTTTTTATTATATTGCTTCTTGGGGTTGGTTTCCTTTTGCCCAACTTGGAATGATGGAAGAGTGTTCAAAGGGAAGTGGTGCAGCCTGTTCGCCTAAGTTGCTGGATTTGATACCCAAAGAAATGGAGTGGGCTGTTGCTAAAGGGAAAAATGGAGATGTTGAGAGGTCATCAGTGGAGATCAGGAAGCTTGAGCTCAGGCTCGGTCTGCCTGGTGATGATGAATGGTCCCTTAAGAACACCAACACTGCCAAAAACATGAATAGAGAAAGAGACCATCACGACTCTCTCTTCTCTCTGGGATACTTCAACCATGGACATCATCATAACCACCACCACCACTTTCATCATCATCAACCAAGCCACAAAGCTGGTTCTCATGAGATGTCACCACAAGTTGGTCCAGTAGCTGGTTCATCATCATCTTCTGTGTGGTTTAATCAACAGCAGCAGCAGCTGGCTCCACCATCTTCCTTTCTTCAGTTTCCAACAACAACAAAAGCAGCAACAGACAAGCAACAGAGCAGCTGCTTGTTGTTGCCTACTGTGGCAAAGGAATCCTCACAGCTCTGTTGCACTAAAGTAGGTGCAATAGACTTGCAGCAGGGTCCTGCAGAAAAGAAGGCATTTTCACCACCAGCTGCTCCTCCTACTCCTGCAAATACAGCTGTGGCCAACAGCTCTCAGAAAAGGTGCTTCAGCTTTTTACTCCTTTTCCTTTTTCCCTCTCAACTTCTCTCTCTCTCTCTCTCTCTCTCTCTCTCTCTGAGTGTTAAAAAATTTCCTCAACTTTTTTTGACAGAGGATATTCATTCACATGAGTCACTTTGCTTGTGTGATGTTTGTGGTCCATCATTATTACTTCTCCTTGTTTCACTTTTTCTTTTCAGTTTTCACCCTTCCTAATGTTAATACTCGTGTTGCCTTTCTTCTATGGTTTTCATTTTTGTTCTTTTCTCTTTGTTTCTTCTTGGTGATTCTTTTTGCCATTATTGTTCGGTTGATTTACAGTAGTTTAGGTTTGAAGATATGGTCTAAAGAAGGAATTGAGCTTGCACAAAAAGCTTATTCTCTCTTTGTGCTTCCTTTTTTGTGTTTAGTCTTCGCTTCTGTTTTTCTTTTTGGTACCCCCACCTTTCCAGGTCTCGACTTTCTAATAATGAAACGTTTTGTTGTTACCTCAATCAATATTTACCTTATATTATTTACAGTTAACTTCACATGGCTTTTTCCCCATTTCAATAAATATACTGCCCATTCTCAATAGGGAAGAGCTTAACTAAACATGACTGTAGCAGCTGGAAGTATTTCTATGCTATAACTTGACACACATGCTTTGTCCTCAGTTCATCGACAACTTTTAACTACAAATAAAGACTGCTTCTTTTCTGTTTTGGAGCAAACGTGGGGTTAGTTGAGAGAGCAATTCCTTGTCTAAAAAAAGGGTTTCTTGGTCATATTATGAATGCAGAACTGCTCCTGGGCCAGTGGTGGGTTGGCCACCAATTCGTTCATTTAGGAAGAATTTAGCAAGCAGCAGCAGCTCTTCAAAGCAACAGCAAACAACTGACTCCCAGAGTGGAAACCCAAACAAGAAGGCTGCAACAAGTGACAAACCAGTTGAAGTTTGCAAGAAAGGCATGTTTGTTAAGATCAATATGGATGGTGTCCCAATTGGTAGGAAAGTGGATCTTACAGCCTATGACAGCTACCCAAGGCTCTCCACTGCTGTTGATGAGCTCTTCAGAGGACTTCTTGCAGGTCATTATTATTCATTTCCCCTTTTTCCGAAATTGAAATTACATAACTTTTTTGTTGTCTTCTAGATGTGAATTATTGTTGGGAGGTCATGGTCCTATGATCCTTGATTCACATAATTGAGCATAGACCAAGCATGGGATTTGCTTTCTCATTTGTTTATTATTGCTGCAAGATCCACATGGTGTTGATTTCGATAGTTCTATTATCTGCCAAGTTGCTTGATTTCTTTAATATTCTGAATACAAACAAAATTGTCGCAACATGTTTCGTTAGTTATTACCATCCAGTTGTTGCCTTGTTAGTCCTGTCTCTGTTACATGCCATTCTTTCCATTGGTTACTCAACATCAAGATTAGATCTTTTTGGATTTTGCTTGATTAATAAACTTAATAGTTAAAGCGGTTAAATCTCATTATATCTGTCGTTTGGCTCTGTTCGTTTGTATTAGCTCAAAGAGATTCCAGTGCTGGTGGAAACATCAACAAGCAGCAGCAGGAAGGGGAAGAGAAAGCAATTACAGGGTTATTGGATGGAAGTGGGGAATATACTCTTGTTTATGAAGATAATGAAGGAGACAGGATGCTTGTTGGAGATGTCCCATGGCAGTAAGCATCTTTATCACCATGGATCTGATACCCACAAAGAAATAGGAAGGAAAAAAAGCATTTTCCTTTCTCCTACTTTATATTCTAATCTCATATTTATATCCACCATCCAACTTGCTGATTAAGCTCTGGTATAACAAATGCTTTAATGTTGTTTAGTACGGCTCGAATAAACTTTCACAAGATTCCTAATCACTTTAACCAATATATTCCCTATGATGTCACTTGCTGTGGCTTTGTTTATTGGATATGCACAATCTTCACACACTTCAATCCAATAGGGAAAAGCAATTTAACCCATATTTACAAAGAAAGCGTTTATCTTGATTAGTACTAATCTGTTGGATTATGCTTTGGTATTATCCTCTGCAGCATGTTTGTGTCCACAGTGAAGAGGCTTCGCGTTCTGAAGAGTTCAGAGGTTTCTGCTCTTAGCCGTGAGTGATCTTAAATCTCATCTACTGCTGCACTGGGAAAGTGATTAAGGCTGATTAGTTTTCTTGATTACATTTGTTAGGTGGTGCTAACTAGGATTTCTTTGCTTTGTTCAGTTGGATGCAGCAAGCAGGAAAAGATGGTGGCGATGAAGTGACATTGAAATGGAGTATTGAGATTTCTAATTTTTGCTGTGAAGAAGACTTCACGCAGACCAGTATTAAGTATATTGAGAGAGCTTGGATCTGTGGTTTTCTGGGGTTTTTTTTCCTGGGGTTTGCTTTGGTCTTATTTCTGCCTATGGCTTTGTAATGAAATTTTATTGCCACTGAGAAGTATATAATATTTTTGTGTAGCTTGCTTTGTTGACATTCCATGTTTTAACAACTTAACCACCCTACATTTGAGTTTTAATTTCTAATTAGGGTTCCTCGTCAATCTCAATTCTCAACAGCGTTTATAGGTGCAGCCTAAAAATCGACCAAAATTTACCGAGTTCATGTCTGATACGCGAATCAAAGAAGTAGTATTGAATTATAATATACTAGGCATGCAGCCCGCATTTCACGGCGGGATTGAGATGAAGTGTAGAATTGTTTTTTTAGGATTAATACTTTAGTTTGGGCCGAACTATAGACAAACTTTCTACTTTGGCTTGTGGTATCGGAAATTGCTATTCTGGCATAAACTATGTAGCATACTTACTTATTTGGCCCGGAGGTGGGTTTGACCGTCAAATTAGACGGTCAATCGAGTTTACCGTTAGTCAAAGTCCACCTCACTTGCCACGTCAGCTAGCAGGAAATATTTTTTTTTTAATTTTGTTTAATTTCTAAAATTAATTAAAAATAATTTGGAGAGCTCTTTTAATTATTTTTTTGTTTATTATTTTTATTGTTAGAAAATAAACAAGTGAGGTGGACCTTGAGTAACGGTCAACTCGGTTGACCGTCTAATTTAACGGTCAAACCCGACTCCGGGCCAAATAAGAAAATATGCTACATAGTTTAGGCTAGGATAGCAATTTCCGATACCACAGGCCAATGTAGAAAATTTGTCTATAGTTCGGGCCAAATTAATAGGGGTGTTCAAATGGTTACCATGGTTATAACCAAACCAAATAAGGCTAAATTCCATTAACCATGGAATACAAAATCATAACCAAACCGTCCAAATTAATACAACAACCAAATTAACCAAACTAAAGTTTAATCGGTTTGGTTAATTGGTTAACCAAATTAACCAATATAAAATTACATTATCATTGATGATGAAAATTTTCCGGTTAATGCAACAATTCGCAATTTATATAATGAATAAAACATAACAATCAACACGTAGTTATAGTTGACCCTTAACAAAAATACATGCAACTAAGACAATTATCTTACGATTAATATAGAAGTATTCACCTAACAAAAATTTATGACAATGGTATGGGTAAATGAATTATTGTGTTTGTGTAAATTGACTTAGTCTCTTAGCAATTATCATAGGCTGGAAATGACCATCCTTTCAAGTTTTCATCCATCATAATGTATGAAATTTATCTAAATTTGGCGTCCATATGTTGTGGTCTACACTTTATATATACAAATATACACTATATGGGCAATATTGAGCTTTATATTTTATATGAGTCTAAAAGGGATGAACGCTAACTCTCGAGTTGTTATGCAAAGTATTAAGTATGTGTATATAATATATGTTACATATATGACTAATTAATTAACTGGTTAATTTGGTTTGATTGGTTAGGAGTGTCTGAAACCAAACCAAACCACCTAAACCAAACAAGCTAAAAACTTTAACCAAACCAAACCAATTATCCAAATTAACCAAACCAAATTATCCAAATAGTACCGGTTAAAACGGTTACCACGATGACCAAACCGTTTGAACACCCCTACAAATTAAGGTATTAACCCTTTTTTTATTATCAAAGTGCCCACATAGATTTGTGCTAGTAATAAAATGATCACAAATGTTAAAATGTAACAAAAAGGTTGAATAAGTATCAAGATATAACAAAACAACTATATCATGTCTTTTCATCTATATTTTCATCCAAAATGGCTAATTAGCTTGCTTAGGATAAGAGGGATTTGTACAGGTCAGTTAGGTGTATTGTATCATCGTATCACGATGTCGTGAATCGTGATACGATGATACGACTGGGTTTTGCTGACCGGAGTTTTGTACTCTATCGGCTCACTTAAACATATATAGAATTTCGAAAATCACAGGATGGGCATCAAAATGTATGTAACACATACGCTTTTCTAAAAGCTTTGTATTGTAAAACCAGCTCCACGGTGTTAGGCCAAAACAAAAATTAGAGGATTGTGTGAACCACTGTCATCAGCACTTGCTTAGTGTCTAATTATACACATGCATATGTATTTTGTTTAAAATTATCATTACTTTTCTTAACATATTTTATATTTATCATGCATATATGATATTTTCATGAAATTGTATTTTTCTCACTAATTTTTTCATTTTAGTAATTTATTGTTGTGATTTGTCACTTATATAATGTCGGTATATGGAGATTTGTTAACATGTTGGTTGAAGATATAAAGAAAACTTATCCATTGATATTTGATACCCTTGGATACCTGAAATTCGATCAAGTATGTGTATGGTTTGATATTCTATCTGACGCTTATATAGGTATATATATGTGTAAAACCCGAACTATTTTGGGTTGGAAAATATATAAATTATTATTTTTTATTTCTGAATTTTGTTTTCTTTTGATTAATAAAAATAATAAATAAAAAAAATTATTAAAAACGAAAAAAGGGCCCATTTTTAGCAAATGACAAGAAAATAAAATTCAGAAAAAAATTATGTCCTCAAAGCTGACGTGGCAGGTGAGGTGGACATTGACTAACGGTCAACAAGTTTGACCGTCTAATTTAACGGTCAAACCCGCCTCCAGGAGTCAGAATAGCAATTTCCAATACCACGGGCCAAAGTAGAAAGTATGTGTATAGTTAGGGCCAAACTAAAATATTAACCCAATAAAATATATAGAAAGAGCCAACAACAAAAAGAAACACATTACTCCAATAGCACAACCCCAATGAAAACCCATTTTGATTTGACATTATTATTATATGATGGTAATAAATGTAAAGTTAAAAAAATGGGTGACCAAAGCTAAAAATTTTAGTGAACAGTAAATGAGATTCAAGTTTATATATATTAACAATTCGAAATTATGTGTGATTAAAACAAATAACATTAGTTTAAAATTATACCAAAGGTAATGTCTATTTATTAACCAAAAATTTTCCGAATTCTTTTATTTTATCCAAACATATTGGAATACTATTTATTAACCAAACGTTAAATCTCCTTTAACTTTTCCATTTGATGATGGTGAGCGGTCAGATGTGGCGCTGAGTTGGAAGGAATATTTTGACGTAGCAGTCAAAAAATGCCATATCAGCCGGTCAACCATTGATCATTTTTTATGATTTTTTTATTAGCCAAACCTATTGAATTACTAATAATTAGCCAAATGTTAACTTCCAATTAGCAATTTTGTTAGTAATATCGACTTGGCAACATGATACCGACTTGGAAGAGATACATAGAGGTCAACATTTCAAAATTTTAGTATTTTAACTAAAAAAAGTGTTACAAAATTATTAACGATAACATATAAATGCCTATTATTTTGATGCATTACAAAAGATTTGGTCATTTATTACTAATTCAATAGGTTTGGCTGATAATAAAGAATGTGAGAAAGGTTTGGCTAATAATTAGTGTGTACCCAATTTTATTTTATTCATTGATGAGGGGGAGCGGTTACGGTGCTAATTGTACAATAGTTAGCACCGTCCTAACCAAGGAAAAAACTACTACTAGTTTGAATTAGTAGTGATTTAGCTTAGATGTTGTATTGAATTTATAATAATCCGTAGTGATTTCGTTATTTTTAGTAGCGTTTTTTGCTAGTTATCACGGTGCTAACCCCTATAAGGGTTAGCACCTAATCCCATCCCTTGATGAGGTGGTTGCTGAGTTAGACGCTGAGGTGGACCACTGTTAAAAAATAGTTAACGGTACCAAATTAATGACTACGACTTGGATCTGTTACAAAACATTTGACTAATTCTTAGTATTTCGATAGCTTTGACTAATAAAAAATAATTAAAAAATTGGCTAATAAATATTAAATAGTCATTATCCTATTGCAAACCTAAGGTGTTTGTAATAAGAATTTAAGAAAAGAGCATCTACTTTGTAAGGCACCGAGAAAGCCATCCATGCCTGGTTTGGAGGGATGGAATATGATGAGAAAGCCATGCCTGGTTTGGAGGGGTGGAAATTGGAATATATGAGCAAAGTCTAGCTATTAGAGCATCTCCAACAATGCAATCCTTCTTCACTTTCAAGTGTGGTCCCTACTGTCACCTAAGCAACTCTAGCAATTACTTCACTCATCAATTTCATACTAGCTATATCAATGTCATTCCAATGCAATTGCACTTCTGGGTCCCACTTACATTTTAATACCACACAAATGGTTGGGAAAAGAAGAAAGAAAAACAAAAACAAACAAAGGACCCACTTGCAATTGCATGTCAGATTTTCATGGTGTGCAAATTTTCATCCATTGAAAGTGGTCTTGCATCAATGCCATCCACTTTTTCAATTGCACATGGCTGCCACCTCAGCTTGCAATTCCCTCCATTTGCACCATTGGAGATGCTCTTAGGCTACGTCTAATAGCTAACGTTAAAGGATTGATTAATGAGCCTACGCCTTTAACTAGGCTACGCTAACGCTAAAGCTGGAGTGTGTTAGGGCATCGAGAAAGCCAGTTTTTAATGCAGCTTTGGAGGTAGCTTCCTTGCAGCTGCAAAAAAGCAGTTAATGTCAAATAGCATTTTCCTGACGTCAGACGATAATGCACGGGCTTTAATTTAGCAAATAAATTTGTGTATAGTCATAAAACAACAAATGCATAAATAAACCTACCTATGACAATTTTAATCATTCCCTAGGGTATTATCTGACATGATCCGTGATGGACCGGTATTATCCGATTTGCAGTAATGTGAAGCGATAGGAGTGTTCAAATGGTTACCATGGTTATTACCAAATCAAATAAGTCTAAATTTTATTAACCATGAA